ATCATTCTGTCTTGACAACTTTTCATCTATGTTGATCTTCATTAAAAATGACTATTTGAACAAGCATATTAAGATTTTGTTCATGCAACTGATTGCAGTGCTACTTTGACTGTTATCTAATACAGGTAGTCCTTGACTTACGACCATAATTGGAACCAGAATTTCCATAGCTAAGCAAGGTGGTTTTTAAGTGAGTTATACCCAATTTTACAACTTTTTTGCTATGGTTGTTATGCAAATCAGTGCAGTTGTTAAATGAATCATGCTATCGTTAAGCAAATCAGGATTCCTCTATTGACTTTGCTTGTTGAAGCTGGCTAGGAAATGTCGTAAATACATGCTAGTTGCCCCATGACCATGAGGATGCTGTGATGGTTGTAAGTGTGAGGACTGGTCGTAAGTCACTTTTTTCAGTACCTTTGAGACTTTGAACAATCACTAAACGGTTGTAAGGCAAGGACTACCTTTATGGTCTGAGCACTCTCCTTTCTGTATTTAGAGTAAAGAAATGATAGGGTAAACAGTTTGGGGTTCCTTTAATACAGGGGTGTCAAACTGCCGGCCCACGGGCCGGATGCGTCATACCAAAACTGCGCCCACCCCATTGCCAGCAATGGGAAAAAAGTCGCGACACGTCACGTGACATTGCGAGTTTGACACCCCTGCTTTAATACAACCATCCCCAACATGATACCCTTCAGATGGGCTGTGAATGCAGCTTCCAAAATTCCAAGCCTGTGTGTCTGAATGTCACATTTAGAAATTTTGAGAGTTGCAGTTCCAGCTATGCTGAATGATTAGGATCTGAGAAAGCTGATTTAGCAGGTGATTTTTTTTTTAAAAAAAAACATGCTGATTATCCCATCAGCATTTAGCAGGTTTGTTATGGTATTGGACTGTATCCTATTTACAAAAATCAAAGAAATCAGTAGTATGCAATTTAGTCTTCACTAGCAGAAATCCTGTTGGCTTCAGTGGGTTAAATCTAAATATAACTAAATCTGTATCCAACCCTTTGTATTCATAGGAATGTTAATTAGGAACCAAGGGTATTGAAATAATGGTTCAGCATCTTATAAACTTATAGTAGTAACTGCTGATGCAGACAGTATTAGTGACTGCTTCTTTAACCTAGGTTATTTTTTTAATTTAGAGATTATATGAACCAGAAAGTAATCAGATGAAAACAAAGGTACACTTCACAGTGCATGCTAGCAGAATTTAGGCAATTGTATTTTAATTCTTTATTGAACAAAAGGATGGGTGACAAAATGACTGACATAGAGAATTAATAGTCAAGTTAATTATGTTGTGTCATAGGGTGCCAACCAAAATCAGTCCTCTATTTCTCTTTGACTCATTTTGGAGAATAAAAGGTTCCTTTTTCCTCCCCACACATTATTTATCTGAAGGAGATGAATAGTTATATTGAGGGGTCCTTGGTGCTCTCTGAGCTTGTTTTCTTGCAGACATTTCATTACCCTAACTAGGTAACATCATCAGTGCTAGTAAGGAGTGCTGTTTGCTGTCAGTTTATACTCTGGTGTCTTGCCTGTCTCTGTGGGTGGGGATGGTCTTAGGGATTCTTTGGTTGGGCTGTTTACTAATGGCTCTTTGGCAGTTTCTTGATTGGGGTATTGCTTACTTGATTGTTGGTCTGAAGTTGACCTTGGAGTTAATGCTATGTTGATTCCATGTGGTTGTAGTAGTCTATTTATGGTTTCTGAGATGTTCTTGATGTATGGCAGTGTAATTCTTTTTAGGATTTGTGTTGGTTATGCTGTATTGGGTTGAGTGGTCAGGGACTTTTTTGTTTTTTAAACAAGTTTTATTAATTTTTCAAATTTTAACATCCAGATACTTAGGAAGCAGCATGGTGCTAGGGAAATCAGTCAATAACAAAATCATTCATATATATCTCAGGTTACATCAATAACATTCCCTCACTGTTTCCCACAAATATTATATCATATTCATGTTAATAAGTTTCTAACTAGGCTCAATCAATCAGTACATTTATCAATAGTATTTTACTTATATATATCCAAGTCCTGTTTAGGGGTTTTATTTAATTCCAATTTATATATTCCAATTTAGCCTTTTATAACCAATGTTTAAACTTCGGATAACCTTGATTTCCCTCATTTTATTATAATATAATTAACATGACTAAAATACACATATTATTCCAAAATTTACCTTCTTTATAGACAAATATATTCTGATTCTCATTCTAATAACTCCTCCTTTAATAACAAAATATCTTTCATTATCACAAATCTATTTCCATATAACAATTAAAGTTATAATCTAACAGTTAATTTTAACTCCCATTATAAATCTAAGTGCTAAATATTAAAAAAAACTTTATCTCTAAAACACTGCTTTACCCATTAAGTAGATTTCTAAATCCCATTTTTAAATCTAACTCTGGCTTTCCTTTTGTGCCAAGTAGGTTTCCATGCCAGTGCCTCTAAAACCTCGGATGTATCTCCCGTCATTCCTACACCTGTTGTTTGAATCAAGGGAGAACGTCCAGTTATCAGTCTTTCAAAAGAACTGGCCCCTTTGTAATTGTTAAGTTGTTGCCCTAATAATTCAAATCTCCATGTTTGGTTTAGGGTATTTATAGTCGGTTCAGTAGTCTGGTCCTCTTCTTCTTCTTGCGATTTCATCTGAGTAGAATAGAGAGTCATATCCAGTGTTGTTGTTATTTGGTTATCTAAAATGTCTAAGTTCTCTGCTTTTAGAGTTACAGGTGCTGTAGTTAAAGTCAGTGATTGAACATCAAAGTTCTCAGCCACTTGTGCATGTTGTATGAAATCTTCTTTAATGTTAAATTGTTCATCTTCTGTTATTTTTTGGGTTATAGGTTGATCACTTTGAGTCTGAGGTTCAATTTGTAGTTTTGTAAAAATGTCTTTGGCTTTCACTCCTGAAATAATTAGCTCTGTTGCTTCACGGATTTTTTCAAGGATAAGTTTGTAATTAAGTTGTGGATAGGATTCATCCATTTCCATGGTGATTAAAGATAGTCCTTTAGTGGAGGCTATGTTTAGTAAGACTCAGCTATTGTCCACCTCCACAATTTGTAGGAATTATTGTCACCACAGCTGTTTCTACGTCTTATCTTTTTTGATAGTATGAAGGACAAATCAAAGTAGTCAACAAGCACAATTGAAAAAAGAAATTCCAGTTGCTATGCCAAATCTTGCCACAAGATGTCCCCAGCAGACCACAAAATCTTTTCCCAAATGCCGAATAGCCTCTTATTCAGTTAAAACACACAAAAAAGCCGATATTTTGCAAAGTTAATAGTTAAAGAAGTTAAAAAAGATGCTAAGTCTCTATAATAAAAAGTTTTGGGCCCCCAAGGTATCCACAAAACAAAGATCCCATTATTTGGTTGTTGAAGTTAGTAGTTCTTTCCTTTTCTTTCCAAGCTGTAAAATCCCATGTATGCAAACGCCACTGAATTGAGAGCGGGGAAACGAATTTCAAAAGGCTTTCACAGGAAGGTAATTAGGGAAACAGAGAGGTAAAAAAGGATCTCACCCAAATCCTCCACTCCTGCTTCATATGCTTAGCTGTTATTGGGACTTTTGGCTGGTGCGACTAGGTGATCGGCCATGTTAATGGCCGATCTTTTCTTCGTCGGTCCTAGGGAGCTGCCTCGGATCAAACGGAAGGGCTGCTGCCCTTCCGCGATCTTGCGAGGGTCCTCCCCAATGGTGGTCGCCCCTCCAGGGCGACTTTCAACCCTTTCCAGGGTCTTCCGACGAAGGGAAACCAGACGGCAGGGAGAAGCTTCCTTCCGCGCGTCCAAAGGCGTCGCATCCGGAACCGGAAGTCGAGTGGTCAGGGACTTTTTGATGAAGTTGCATGGGTATCCATTTTGTTGGAATGTGTTGTATAGATGCTCCATCTCCTTTTTCTGCTGTACTTTATAATTTATTTAAATTAGCCATTCACAGATTGTCTTACACCTGGATTATTTTTTCACTAAATCAATTTGACTGAAATATTTAAGTTAAATATAAGTGAAGCTAAAGGCTTTGTACCACAGAATTTGAGGTACTATAACTACCATTTTCTTTGCATCTGTGAAGAAAACAGTCCATTTGGAGGACTGTAAAAGTATCCTAATTCTTGCATCCATCTATCATAAAATGTATAAATCCTTAGAATTAAATCCAAAGAGCATTGCTTCCAAGTTACCTTGACTCTGAAATGTTGGGACACCAGCAGTAATCTCTAGCATGCTAAGGGAAACCATGCGCTCTGTGAATGCAAGAAACCCAGTTCTATATGCACATTTTTGTGTACTCATCCAGAAGATTTTTAGACATTTCCTGCATCACAAACACACAGAAGAGGAGCAGCTGTTGTTCAAATCATGAATTCAATTTTCAGTTGTCATCTTGAAAGAACTTGAGAATGATCTGCAGGTATTTCAACTTGGTTCTGTTAGGCCTACTTTGAATGTTTTCAGCATTTTCTCACATGTTCCTTTAAAACTTGGTCTTTTCCCCCATTTTCTTTGTTTCCATTTTAACTTATATAAGCAAGTTAATGGATATATGGAAAACTGAAAAATTTGAATCAGCAGCATCCAAGGGGAACGGTCAAAAATTAAGGTGATGTTTGCAGCAGCATTTTCAAACCTCTCTTCAACACCTCCATAGCTCCCCCCCCCAGTTCTCTAATAAAAATACAGCCTCAGAATGGATTTTGATATTTTTGAGACCATCTTAGTTTTAAATATGGAATTGTAGTGATCGTTTAAGTTGAGAGAATGTGGTAGAATTTCTCATAGTACCTAAGTGAGCACATGGACATCAGAGTCTGCATTCAGATGGATTGATTTGCAAATTAAGTACAAGCCTCGTGGCTTCTACGTACTTTAACTCAACTTTTTACAACAGTTGGTGAGAGGAAATTATTCCAAACACTGATGTTCTTTCAAGAGCATATTTCTTTTCCTTTTTTGTCTTCTATAGAGTTTACAGATGTTGCCTCAACAACGAAAGGCCATTGCAAAATTTAAAGAGCCTGCTGATGCTTTAAAATTTCAACAGAGGTTTCACAGGTAAGTGTTACGCATATGTTTTCTCATATATGAACTATTTTACTCTTCCTCAACATTTCTCAATGTTAGATGTCTTTTATTACAATCCCATTGTCCCTAACCAATCTGGTGAAAAAGACAAAAGTTATAGCTCAATACAGCAATTGGGAAAACTATAAATTCTTTACAGCCAATTCACTTTACAAAGACCTTTTATCTTCTTGAGATTGGAGAACTGTTTAGAGCTGATTCAACTGTAGCAGTGATAGTTGATCAGGCTGAAAGCAAGCCTTGTATCCGTGTTCAATTTTTGTTTCTCTATGTCTTAATACACTTTTTTTCAACATTTATATCTGTCTTTAAGCTACAGTTTTCCATGGCATCAGGAACAAATGTCATTTTATGTGCAGTGTATAAATCAGGATATCAAATTGTTTTGTATCATGATTTGTAAGCAGAATGTAAAGTTGATTCAAATTCTGGATGTTATAGTTTAACAAGCCAATGCCTCCGTGAAAAAGTTGGGTGCTTGACTAAACTGGGTCCAGGATATTTGAAGAACTGTCTTTCCCCAATGGGACTGGCCTGCCCCACACATTCTGGCAGAAGAGGCCTACTGTGGACCTCATCAGCCAAGGAATTTCAGCTGGTGGGGTCTAGGAGAAGAGCCTTTTATGTCGTGGCCCCCACCCTTTGGAACATCCTGCTGCTGGAGGTGAGGTCTGGGCCTTAAGACCTGGCTCTGCTAGTTGGTGTGGGGCCCTGTTGGAGACACTTTAGGCTGGACATGGCTGGTGCAGTGATATAAGAGGGCACCACCCCCGTTCTGCATGAGTCCTTGGGGTTTTTAGTCTAATTTTAACTGTTCCTATATTTATAATTGATTTACAGATCTATTTTTATTGCATTGTAAGCCACCCAGAGTCACTTTGGATAGTGAGATGGGCGGCATATAAATTTAATGAATGAATGAATGAATAAATAAATCTGTCACTGAAACAACCTAGACTTTTCATAGTTTGAAGCACTTGCTTATGAAACATGGCTGCATCTGAACCAAGCCTAAAATTGCATGAGAGCGTGTAACTAAACAAGTTCCTTAATGCATTAAAAAAATACAGCTGCCTTAAATCATTGTGTGTTCATCTTTTTTTCCAGGCACATGATAGATCTCTCCCATATCAATGTGGCACTGATAGTGGAGTGACCCACTGAGCATAAGTTGTCTTAAAATAAAGCAAGTTATGGAGGAAGTCAGAAGGGTAGAATCTTCCTGTAATTTCTGGTGCCAGCTTTGCAGACTCCTTCTGAAACTTCAAATTATTTTGCGACAGCTGCTGACAGCAACCGCCTTGCTACAAATGAAGTTTGATTTCAAGATTGAAAAAGATTTGTATCGAACATACATAATTACAGATCTCATGTATGAATAGTGTACATGGATGTTTTCAGGCAATTACTATGTGATCACAATGACTTGGAACAAAAGAACATTGACTCTTGAAAAGTTTTTTATGTTTTTTTCTTATAAAAGAATATTTGATAATGGTTGCTCTTATCTTCAGTGTGAGGTGTTGAAATCAGAATACACCCATTATCTAGTGTTTGTAGCTAAGCATATAATATAGAATAAAAGTTGGTCTATGTAATTTGTGGATTTTTTTTATTTTTTTATTTTTTTCCCAAGAGGCTCTGAAGCTCATTCTTGAAAGCTCTTATTTCTAGTAAGGTGAATGTAGTTTGTTGTGCATAGAAGTCCCTCTCAGTGTTCCCAGCATTATTTCTTACCAACCCTATTTTGGACAAATAGTCTCACCAATTTGATGTCCTTATGTATGAAGGATGCTTGTATTCAGACTTCAGAATCTTGGATCGACACATTTTTAGCCTTCTCTTGTGCTTTCTTAGAGTGCTTGAATGGGCAGGAACTAACTGAAAGCTGCTGCTGGTGAGAATGTTTACATATTCAGGTCCAGGAAATCCATTTGGGTTAGGCTTGTTGGGAAGTGAGTCACTGGTGTTAAGCTTCATATTTTAATTTATTTTTTGTGTAATAATTGGCAGTAATGTTTGATAACGGTAGAGTCTGCCAAATTGTACTCTAGCACTGTTCCCACGTCACCTAGTGAATTATGAGGACATTTCCTGTGTAAGATGTGGACTGTTCTGAAAATATGTGCAGACTTTATGGAAGTTGTTTTTATATTAAATAAACTCTTTCCTCCAAAGAAAGGCGCTTGTGACAATGTTCCCTGCTTCCTTTAGTTAGTGAGAGTTTACTACTCTTAGAAATCTATTCAATGGTTATGAATAGAAATCTATTCAATGGCCATTAAACATAGTCAGAGCTGATAAGGATTATAACTTAGACAGTGAGTTTGAGCATATAGAAAAATATAGTCAAAGAATGTTCTCTCAGGACTGCAGGTTATATGACATTGAGAAGTAGTGATGTTTCTTTTCTAATTATTCAAAATATTCTGAACAGATGAAGGCTTTTAAAACTGTTCCCAGTTAAAGAGAAGATGTGGGAATTGGCTATAAGCAATCAAGGTATAACAATACATCATGTCTTCTAAAGGCAAAGCTGTTTTTTCCCCCTCCACTGGTGGTACCACAGCTATAGAATCTTTGGTATAATATAGGGTATGAAGATATGTTAAAGACGTTTTATCGACTAGCTAGAAAAAAAGTCTTCATCTTGCGGAGTATCCTACCTTGAATTTGACCATACCATAGAGGTGAGTTTTGCTGTCCTTTATTATTTACATCTCTTAATTTGTGTTTGTTAAGAAAACTGGGATTTTAGTTTATGGTGCAATTTAGGCTAGCTTTTCTCTGCTTAGAATTGTGTTAAAAACTAACAGTCCCTCAGGATCAAAAGAGAGAGACTATCATACCTTTGCCCATCTCAGGGCATGTTACAGTCTTTCCACAAAACTAAGATTGCAGTTTAGGACTTAACATGTAAAGTAATATTCTTTAAAAAATATGTCTTCACTGCACAGCTCAGATACAGTTTCTCCATAACAAACAAGCACAATACCCAGATAGTTCTGAAAACAGAACTGAATTTGAAACTGAATTTACTACGCAGTAAAGAGCTGGGCTCAGTCATTGGCAAGGCTGCATCACTTTGGCAGGATTAAATGCAACAATGCCTGCCAGAAGAGGGGATTTTATAATGTCCCACCTCTACATCACATTTGAGGTCAGAGGAAACTTTTATTTATTGCAACGCCTGGACTGTTGCAACGCTCTCTACATGGGGCTCCCCTTGAGGTGCACCTGGAGGCTCCAGCTAGTTCAGAATGCGGCCGCGCGGGGGATTTTGGGGGCCTCTAGATACTCCCATGTAACACCTCTCCTGCA